AAATTTAAATCACTTGTAACTCTGAGAAACATGATATGGTGTTGTCTTGTTTGCATTTCTTGTAAGTATTTTAGTATTGCACCCCAGTATTTTACAGATACTTCATGTTCACTGTTATGATCAGTATCTGTTTGAAGGAAGATGTTGAATAATTGGATTATATGAGTCCTCATCTAAGGAGAATAACAAAACAGAAACAGCAGAAATTGTTTAGAAACAGTGCTTATTTAAAATTATTATTACTTATAAATCAATGTATGTCTCTGAAAGCATATACCACTGAGTTGTGATATTTTTGTTATTTGTTTTGATTATATGTTTTACAGATAATATGATCACTATGGTACTACCATGAAAAATACTTTTATGTCTTAAAACACTTATTGTTTTTCCTTTTTGCTTCTTGTTCACATATAATCAACATTCTGAAACTGATACTCTGATGGCTTTTGATGTTTGCAAAACTATACATAAACACAGGTATTTTGTTTATTTAGATCATTTCAGTTATTAAATAATTATTAAATAATACTTTTCATATTTCATGCACTTGCCCATTAGGAAAGCAAAATGAAGTTGTTTTAACTATAAAAATTTCTCAGTACGAATTGATTGTGTGGAAGATATGGATATAACAATAATTCATATTACCTATAATGAGAACTGAACATTCTCTGTGATTAAGGCAATTCCAATTTTAAAAAGCACATTCCCCAATCTATTCAAATGAAATCTTTATTAGATATTCAATTCTTATAACAGGAATGAAGTTTCTCTATGAAGAAGGGCACAAAGAAACAACCAGACACATTGGCCTTATTATCACTTCCTGTTCCAGAACCAAAATTACCTTGAACACATTTAAAAAACTCTGTACAAAGGGTTTGAAACTGGTCTCACATGGAGATGGGAGCGAGAAAATGACAGGAAGCATTGCTTCCAAATTACAGTAAATGCCACATGCTGGGTATGTTTTTCATTGTTTGAAAAAAAAAAAAAAACTTTTCTTTCAAGGTCTGGAGAAGAAAGATACCTAGTATGTAAAGTCTTTCTTCAGATACCTGAAGAAAAGTACCCTCCAGGAGAAGTGTGATTTGTTTTTGTAGGCCATATACAGAATTTAGACAAGTGGGTGGGGAATGCTAGAAAATAGATATCACTTTTCTTTTCTTTTTTTTTTCCTTCATAACCTCGTGGCTTTATTTTTTTGTTAGGGTTGACACAAACTTCACTTTGATTTTGACATTTTTCACAACACACACATAAGATTCATTTATAGAATGAAACAGAAAATTAAAACAGATCCTATTCCTGAGTCTTTTTTTTTTTTGGTAATAGAATTATCAGAGAATCTGAAGATTGGGGTCTTCCCCCTAGAAGACCTCTGTACCAACAAAACAGTTTTGCATATAATATTAAAAGCTGTTACTGATCCTCAGGAATTAAACCATAATCCCAGTAATTGTCAGTAACTTTCACAGGTAAATTCTGACTTAGGCAAAGGGGAAAAGCATGCATGAGTGGAACTCTAGGGCCCCCTAAAATTTAGAATTAATAGGAACCTTGGTCAGCAGGTGGTTGTCAGGTACCTGAGAACCCAGGAAGCAACAAGCATATGTAAATTAGGTGACAAGTGACATTCAGTGGGGCAAATATATTAACAATCACCACCGTAATGGTGACAAAGAACTTGGCACACATGGATATCACCTTTCTTGAACTGAGGAAATATGCTGCTTCAAATGAAGTCATAGCCAAAGGATCTATCATTCTGCTCACAGCCTCTTCACAAGAAGTTCGGGTATCTTTTTTAACAGGAATTTTTAGGGGTTATCGTCTAGTATGGGAGCCAGGAGAATCTTTCCAGCTCTGAAATTACATATTTCTCATGGAATACCATATTTTTAAATGTGATATTTATCTTGAAGAGTTTTGTTGAAGCTATTTTTATAATAGTTCCAGAAAAGACAAAATAAATGTTTCCCCAGGAGTCACACAATATCTTAACAGAAGCATATGCAAGAATTTTTTAAATGGAAGTTAAGATTTGAGGCTCTAACAGCCCTAGTCCCTGTAGACAGTCCTTCCTGTTCTGGCAGTCACAAACCAGTGCCTCTGGGTTTCTTTCATATTATTGGTGAATTTAAGTGCATAAAATCTGTAGACACAAACAATGTTTTAGAGCACTTTTCATAGAACTTGTCAGAGTCCAATTTATAAGTTTACTCAACTTCCTGGTATTTTGTGTGCTTCCGTCTCCCTCCATGAAATTATTTTACTCCATGATATAAACATTCTTCCTGGAGCTTGCTTTCTAGTTCTGTTTAGAGCATGCTCTTATTTCTTCTGGATGCTAAGTTTCCTTCATTTAAATACAGACATGGTTGTATTTGCCAGCTGATGCTTAATTCTATTGTAGATGCATTTTAACTCTATTGTCATTGTCTGCTTATTCTAAAAATTGACCTTTCCTGGAAATAGTTTATCTCTAGTTCAATGGAAATTATTATTCCTTTTTATGTCTTTCCCTATCATGTACTCCCTACGCTTTCTTCCTTAGAATTTATTAAGTGTCAAAACAGATGTTTTAAACACTAAATTCTTGAGTCTGCCTTATAGATCAAATAATCTGGTGTTGCTTGCTCCAACCTTATTTCAGACTATTCTCTTTAACCACTATGCCTCTCCACATTGTTCTTTGTACTATTTCTTGAACAGACCTGTATATTTCCATCTTGGAGACCTTTGCATAGCCTGCAGTGCTCTTTTGATTTTTGTTTGGCTAGAAATTTTGAATTTCACTGAAATCTCAGCTTTAATTTTATTTATTTATTTTTTTAAAGAGAGAGTGAGAGAGGGGAGAGAGAGAGAGAGAGAGAGAGAGAGAGAGAGAGAGAGAGAATTTTTAATGTTTTATTTTTTTGTTCTCGGCAGACACAACATCTTTGTTGGTATGTGGTGCTGAGGATTGAACCCGGGCCGCACGCATGCCAGGCGAGCGCGCTACTGCTTGAGCCACATCCCCAGCCCCTCAGCTTTAATTTTAACCCCATAGATTAAGTCTTCCTTAAAAACTCAACTATAGTAGCCTTTTTTCCTGATGTTTTCTGAAGATTACCATCGTATCTATATGGTATTTTTATTATTTATCTGTATTTATTCATTCTCTATCTCCCCCACCAGATGTGTAATTCATTAAGGTAGGTATGTTGTTTATTTTGTTTACCAAACTCTTCAGCAGCTAGAAGAGGACCTATCACAATGGAATTTAGTAAATATTTATTGAATGAATAAACACATAAGCACATGCTCCATCACTCCAAATGTGCATGTAAGGTAACTTGGCTGAGAGTTAATTCTTTCAACGAAATTGTAACTGAAACTTGTGCAGTAATATTCTAATTCACTTTCACTTATCACTTTCTATAAAGAACTTAAAATTTTAGGGGAAACCTTCCTGTAAGTATTCATGTAAAAATAGTTTTAAAATGCTGCAGGGTCTTTTTGGGCAGTTAGGAAAGGGATACTCTAGAAGTTAAAAAAAATTTAGAAAAGATACCATTGAAGGAAACATGAAAGAAAATACTAGAATGAAATGTCAAAGATAGGTATTACTTAGAGATTTCAATTTTCATAACTTTTTTGGTCTTGAAACTTGGTTTTCTTTGATTCCTTTTCTTTCACATAGGCTGTCAAACTGTCATTCAGATTGCCAATGCAATGGATATATTAGTAACCGTACCATGAATTTAAATTTATAAAGTTGTTTCAGGGCAGTATCTCAGACTTACATTATAAAATTTTCCATCATAAATATGTTGTGTAACAAAATTCTTAATACTTTTTTTCTATAAAGCTGTGTCATTTCATGTGATTTGAAGGGATATGTTTTTATTCTTAATTTGTAAATATAAATATCAAGACATTATAGAATCACTGCATGAACTTGTGTTAGAACAATGATCTTACATTATTGATTTTCTTAGTTTCTCTTCTGACTGTTAAATGTTAGTGATGTAGCTTTATTAATGTGTTTTTAAATATACATGTTAAAATATCTTAGAAATATTTGCATAGAATAAAATAATTTTCTTTGTAAAATTCTTTATCTTCCATTGGTAGGTACATTTTAATTATCATTACTACTTACTAAATTAATTACAAATAGTGTAGAGAAATGTATATTTTGTATATCAATTTGCCAGAAAGAAACCCTGTACTTAAATAGTTTCAGTTTTCATAGCATTAAATATATGACTGCTTGTGAATTATTTATAAAAATCATGTGTAAAATTTTATTTTCTCATTATTGTCATGGTCTTCCATATTTATTCATTTATGTAATATGTACCATTTGTCAGTAAAAATCATTGTGTATATAACTGGTAAATATGTATGTATATCTTTTTTTACTTTAATGTCCTTCATACCTCTTAAAATAATATATTTCAAAAATTTTAGTTAAGTGACCTGAAAAACATAATAAATAAATATAAAACAATCCATTTAAGTGTAACCATACACAAACAAAACCAAATAAACAAAAAAGCACATTTTGAAACATTTTTGCCCCTTATCAAGCTTTCCTCTGAGTGTGTAAAAATTGAGTTCAGTTACTAATAATTTTACTTACACATACATAGATATTAGTGCTCATAATTTATATCAAAATGCTTTGAATCTATAAAAATATAAATAACATTTATATTTCAGGTAGTGTATTCTGCTTTTAATCTTTATGTTCAATTTTCTATCTTTGTTAGAGATTAATATGAGAATTTTTGTCTTAATTAAAATAGTGTTTAACTAGAAGAGTATTACCCTAGAGGCCATGATGTGATTGCCTTAGCTCCAGGGCTGTCAGAGAGGGGCCTTGGGTGGCTGGAGTCCTGGCAGGAGCCTGCAGCTGAGAGCTGCCTTGGGGATAGCCACTACCAGGGCTCCTCTAAGGCTGGCCTGAGCTGAGCCAGGTCTGATGGTGCGCCCTGCGGTCCCCGCAGGTGGCAAGCACAGTGAGAGACATCCAGCCCTTGCTGCTGCACTTCGACATGCTGAGCGCAGCCCAGGAGGCGCTCTACCACCCAGACATCTCCTTCAGCAGCCTTCTGCGGAGCGTGCTACTGCTCATCGTGGACAAGGGCCTCGTGGAGCTGCCAGAGGAGTTCGTGGTCCAGGTGCCCAAGGAGCACAGATTGCAGCCCAAGGTGCGGCCAGCGGTGGGGAGAGAGGGCTGGGGGTGGCTGGGCAGTGGCTCCTGGAAGGCTTAGTTCGCCCCAGGCTGTGACCTAAATGTGTGGTCTTATGTATTTACCATCTGCATTCATTCATGGCTGATGTTGCCCATTCTTGGTATCCTAGCCAGCTATTTTAACAGTGCATGCCTGTTGTACATTAGAGCCTCATTCTTATTTTGAAATATTGCCATTTTTATTGGATTTAAAATATTTTTTCATTATCACAAGAAGTTTAGTGACAATTTCAACTATTGTAAAATTTGAAAGGCTGTAAAAGATAAGCTCTAACATTTCTGATCATGGGCTTGTTTGAAAAAAATCTCATCAAAGGAAACTAACAAGACATTGAAAGGATTATGATGAAAACATCTTGGTTAGAAATTATGTATAATAATTTAAAGCATAGCTAACTTAATAGAAAAGTGGTTATTATAGAAGCAACCTAAAATTCTTATTAAAATGTAGGAAAGTATTTAATATTGCTTCTGCAGCTGTTGAGTACATTGAATGACATCCAGACTTTGAAATTCTAATGAGGAGTGTTTTGCACATAATACTTACTCTTTCCCCCCAATAATTTACATTTCATTTTACATAATATTTAGAAATTACAATTTTTCTTTTTTCTTCCACAAAACTACTTGCAGGCACTCATATCCATGTAATTTCTCACAGGGAATATAAACTTTATCATTTTATTTGTGTGCCACAGCATGAAAAACACTGGGAAGCATTTGTCTGGGAACAGTGAATATCAAGTCTTATCACCAAACACAATCACCTTTTCTATCCAGTGATTTGCTGAAGGGGATGGCATACAAGAAATAATGGCAGGGACTGGGGATGTGGCTCAAGCAGTAGTGTGCTCGATTGGCACGCGTGCGGCCTGGGTTCAATCCTCAGCACCACATACAAAGATGTTGTGTCTGCTGATAACTAAAAAATAAAATATTAAAAAAATTTAAAAAAAAAAGAAATAATGGCAAAGGAACATGAAGTATCACTGTGATGCCTGAGTTCATCTTCTAAACTTCCTTATGGAATTAGAATACTTTGTTTCAGTTCAGGGACTGTGGGAGGTGGACCATGAAACCACTTCAGATTTTAGTGACCTGTGAGAAGGAAACACAACTCTTCAATTACAACAGCACATTGAAAGGAGTAAGTAGGCTGGTAAATTGGCACTCAACAGTTTCATGCCTTCACTTACTGTTCTATCCATGATCTAGACTCTTTTTAGATTAGAAATTCTTCCTTGGTGGTGATGGTTGAGGAGTGGTAGGGTGACATGCAACCAAGTACAACACAATTGCATTAACTTGCATAGAAACACATGGAAGGACCCAACACATTTTGAAAATTCAAAGACTTTGTGTAATAAATATTTCTTAAAAATTCCACTTCTGCTTTCTGCTTTGCTTTATATTGCCTTTTCAAACCTGACAATTTCTAAATTGAAAACAGCTATATTTTTTTTCTCAGAATGTGGTTCAATAGTCACCAAGTTTTCATCATAATCTTGTATTTTGATTTATATTATAAAATATTAATATTAGTAATTATATTTAACTGACTCCAATGAATATATATTAACAAGAAATTCTTTTTTCACAAATGAAGAAGAAACCCAGAAGTGATGTTTACTTTTTATAAATAGATCTTATATATGTTTAAATCGGCTACTAGTGTGTGTATATGCATGCGTGCGCACATATATATACACACACACACAACTGCTAGCAATTCTATTTCTAAAAAAAATTAGAATATCAGTCAGTTAGAATACCAGTTAGAACTCTTATTGAGAAGTTGACTGAATTTAAATATTCTCTAATTTTTAAATTTCAATATTAATTATTTTTAAAGCTCCAGGAATTTAAATGAGGGCCTTATTCATGCTGGGCAAGCATTCTACCACTGACTTAAGCTCCAGTCTCCCATTCCCCAATTTAGTAAGATTTTTCTACACACCTAATCTTTGGTCTTGGCCGTGATTATATGTGGCCAGTTACATATAATGGGGAGATTAAATCATGTTTTTTAAATTTACTATCAAATAGGCAACTTGAATTATATTCTGCTTAAGATGTATGAAAGTGAGGGTGCAAGGCAGATTTCATGGGATATCATAAATGAAGACTAAGCTAAATGTTATGTGCTATATAAAAGGAGCTTACGGAATCATGTCTGTTATGATGAGGTGATGCTTTCAGAAAGTTGCTGTTGTGCAAAAGTAATTTTATCAGTGAAAGAAATTGACTGAAGGTCAGTTGAGAGGGCTCCCCATAGAAAGAATAAAGAAGAATAAGTATATATAACTGGGGCATGATATTTTCAGACTTGGAGGATGGTACACAGAGCTAGAGTGCTTGGACAAGTATTCAAAATGTAATAGAAGTATGAGATTCACATTATCTTGAGCTATTTAAGTTGAGAAGACACAGAAGAATTCAAATGAAAAATGTCATCTCAAATTTCCTCCCTTCCTTCCTTACCTTCTCAACATTTATTACAACAAAAACAACAGTCTGCTCTTAGAACAAAGATACTGTAAGAATTGAAACATAAAATAAGTACAAATAGCAAAGGGTGATATTAATGTAATCAATCTGTGATTTAAAAGTGACTTTGCCTTCGAATATTAACCTGGGTTTTTGTATAGATGGCCAAACAATCACATTATAGATCCAACAAAAATAGCCATAAGAATAAAAGAAAACCTCTTTTATTGCTTTGGAATTACACTATGAATTTTTTAAAAATTCATTTGACCCTTGAGAGCTAACATTACTTGAGAGTAAATGAGTGTTTGGATTCATAGGAATTAGAACTTCATGGTACAGCAGCCAAGCATAAAGAATTAAAAAAAAAAAAAATGATTCTCCAAGGTTGGGTTTCTCTGGAGTATATTAAAGTAGAAGGAAGTCTGAGGGCAGATTGCCCAGATAAAGACTAGATATGGAGCTTCCCAACAAGTTAAAGAATGTTAATGTACTTTTATTCATTGTATTCTTTGCTGTGTTTGTGATTTTCATGTAGGTGCTTAGAAAGTTCATTGAGAGGATCTACAAACAATCCTCCTGCAAGCCACACATGCAATATGCCATATTCCTTCATGTTTTCTCCTAAAAAGCAGACAAAGCATTTCTGGCCTGACAGGATGTCTTAGTAACTCTGCCTGGGCTCATTTTAAAGTTCACTTTTTGCTGGAACCAAAATGTTTTTATAGGAGGCTTGTGTATTCTATCAGTCGTTTTGAAGAATTACATCAACTCTACCTTACTGACCCTGTCCCCCACACTCTTAGGTTTTCATCTTAATAGGTGGGACAGCTTCTATTATGATGGTAAAGAAGGAGTAAGTGCTATTTAATTTTTAAGTTGACTTTGAACAAAATCATCCTTTAAAAGTAGAACATATTACTGAATATTGGAGGTTACTCATTCACTTTTCTACTCATTTATTTTTCCAACACTTGTTTGAGTACAAATGCATGCTGGGTATTACAGTAAGTCCCAGGGAGACAAAGATGAAGAACTACCCAACTTTGATCTCTCAGTGAGTCTCCTGGAACAGACAAAAGGAGAGTGCAAGTGTGTTGAATGCATGCGAGAGGATACCTCCTATCTGCACCAGACAAGAGCAGTTCTTCATCACAGAAAAGAAATTAAGACAGACTTTGTGTGTGTGTGTGTGTGTGTGTGTGTGTGTGTGTGTGTATGTTTGAAAGGGTGCCAAATATAAGAATAATGTTTTGAGGATACATATTCTTACAGAAATGTCAGGACTCAAGTACTTAGACTTTAGTGATCAAGAAATAACTTAAGGGGAGTTTTCCTCCCCTCCTAAGGTACTAGTTCTTCTGTTCTTTCCAAAAGCTTTTTTTGCTCACTGTAATTATAAGTGATTTTAACCTCCAATTGTACACCATTTCTCTAAGTCACAAAACCAACCATCAAATGGCACTTGCATTCTTGCGTCTTAGCTCAGATTTCCAAGGAAGAGAATTTAATTCCCATTGGGCGAAAGTCAATTTTCCTTATCTAATTACTGTGCTCCAGACATTCTGTGGCCAAGGGCCCACACAATTCTCCTTGTGCATAAAACAGTGTACTGTGGAGCACATGGAGGTATTATCTACCTAAACTGATTGGATCAGAGAAGTTGATCTGAAGATAAAGTGGCGTCTGTGCTGCAACCCCACAGATGAGTATTAATTAGCCAAACAGATAGATGGAAGAAGAAAGGTACTACTATAAGGAGAGGAAGCAGTAACACAAAGGCTTAGTTCAGTATGCAATTGGAGCATAACAGTCCTAAGGATAATTTTTAGTCATCAGTCTAGAACTAATCTATCTGCAGAGGTGGTGAAGGATCTAATCAGAAATATGAGAAGTTCAGCATTTTCCTGATGTCACTGAAGAAGAAACTAAAGTTAATTTTAGAGAAATTAAGCAAGGAGTGGCACATTTGAAAAACAAACTAGAAGATTCGAGATGAGATGGAGATTTTGTTATATCAATTCAGATAAGAAATCTGAGTTGGTTGCATTGGTGGTTTTGACTCAATGAGTGGATTGTCAATAGTGATGTTGAGGGGGCTGTTAGGGAAGATCAGTACTAGAGCGTATGCTTACGCATGAGGTCCTATATCAATCCCTAGCACTAATCCTCCCCCTAGTAGTGGTGATGAGTGACAATTGGCATTTAGATTTATTGTGTTTCTGAGTAAGACAGAGAATAACATAAAGGGAAAGCTACCAAGCCTCATGCTTGAGAGATTGTATGATGAATGACTGTCCCATTCACTGAGATAAGAGTGACAGTGGAGATGAGAATGCTGGTAAGGAGTGGTATGTTGTCAACTGAACATTTATCCATTGAATAAAAACACAATATCCCAACTGCGTGGGGTTGCACATGCCTGTACTCCCACCCACTTGAAAGGCTGAAACAGGAGGATCACAATTT